GCCCTGTCTCTACTAAACACACACACACACACACATGCACACACACACACATTAGCATAGTGGCAACTGCCTCAGCTACTCAGGAGGCTGAGGCAGGAGAATCACTTGAACCCAGGAGGCAGAGGGTTGCAGTGAGCCGAGGTCATGCCACTGCACTCCAGCCTGGGTGACAAGAGCAAGACTCCATCTCAAAAAATAAATAAAAATAAATAAGTAAAAATGAGCCATTCGATAAGATTCATCTATGTGATAGTCAAAATAATGGGTGCCTTCAGGTGGTAAAGAGAGAGGGAGTGTGCATGTGTGTAAAACTGCCATGCTTCTCACCAGATTTTTGCACTTTGCTGTATGTAGATTATACCCCAGGTTTTTTTTAGAATTGGGTGAGACAAGCTACCTGATAGTGATACTGTAAATTAAAAGGTGTCTGCACTACACCCAGCTCTACCATGGAGCTCCCTTACATATTGCTGATCACTGCCTGAAAGTCCAATGTATAATCTACTTGATAGAATGAAAAAATAATAATAAATTATAGAGCCACAGGAAGTTGCAAAATAAGCATACTCTTCTCCTCCCCCAGTATTGGCATCTTTTGTAACTATAGTACAATAGCAAAACCATTACATTGGCATTGGTACAGCCATGGCCCTTACTCAGATTTCATCAATCATACTTGCACTCTTCTGTGTGTGTGTGTGTGTGTTTATGGTTTATGCAATGTTATCACATGTGCATATTCATGTAGCCACCATCACACTCAAGATACAAAACTATTCCATCATCATGACATTTGATAAAATTTTAACAGAGAAGTCATATTTACAGTCCTCTCTGAATCCCCCTAAAAGTCCCCTGCTGTATTTACTTACTGTTCTTTTTTTTTTTAGGCAGAGTCTTGCTCTGTCTCCCAAGCTGGAGGACAGTGGCACAACCTCAGCTCACTACAACCTCTGCCTCCTGGGTTCAAGCAATTCTCCTGCCCCAGCCTCCTGCATGATTGGGACTACAGGTGTGCACTGCCAAGCCTGGCTATTTTTTTTTTGTATTAGTCTCGAATTCCTGACCTTGAGTGATCCACCTACCTCAGCCTCCTAAAGTGCTGGAATTACAGGTGTGAACCACCATGCCTGGCCACTTGTTCTTTATTACACTGAGCAGAGTGATGATTAGAAGAATAGAAGACATCTGCCTCCCTGATGACTGTTACTGACCCAGCAGCGGCTGTGTAATCTGATTGGGCATTCAGCCTACACAGACCGAGCAGAGGATAGAGTCTGTGGCTGGGAGAGAGATTTTCACTTCCTCTCTCCCAGCCTCACTCTTATATCCCTCCATTTCTCCAGGTAAACCTCAGTAAGGAAGCACTATAGACTCTGATGATTTTGTCAGATATCTTATAGCCTAAAAGAAAACCAACCTTAGGATGATGCTAAGGGCACCTCAGTGGAGTGGTGGAAGCAGCCAGAGATCTTACTGATGTCTTGAAAAGCTGATTCACACAGTTACTGGACCTGACTCTGGACTTACACTCAGACAGTGAAAGCTCTCATGGTTTTAGTCCATTTAAGTTAGGGTTTTCTGTGTCTTTCAGTCAAAAGGAGGATAACTGAAGGTTATCTACAAAAACCTACATCTAACATTATACATAATGGTGAAAGACTGAATGCTTTTCCCCCTAAGATCAGGAACAAGGCAAGAATCCACTCTCACTACTTCTATTCAGTATCATACTAGAGGGTCTAGCCCATGTAATTTGGTAATAGAAAGAAATAGAAGGCAGCCTGATTGGAGAAAAAAAAAAGAAGTAAAACTATCTCTGTTCAAAGGTGACATGGGTCAGGAGAAGTGGGTCATGCCAGTAATCCCAACACTTTGGGAGGCCAAGGTGAGTATTGCTTGAGGTCAGGAGTTTGAGACCAGCCTGGCCAACATGGTGAAACCCCATCTCTACTGAAAATACAAAAATTAGTTGGGCATGTGGTGGGCATGTATAATCCCAGATACTTCAGGAGGCTGAGGCAGGAGAATCGCTTGAACCCAGGAGGCAGAAATTTCAGTGAGCCAAGATCGTGCCACTGCACTCCAGCCTGAGCAACAGAGCAAGATGCTGTCTCAAAAAGAAAAAGAAATAAAAGCTGGACACAGTGGCACGTGCCTGTAGTCTCAGCTACTCAGGAGGCTGAGGTGGGAGGATCATTTGAGCCCAGGAGTTCTGGGCTGTAGCATGCTATGCTGATGAGGTGTCTGCGCTAAGTTTTGCATCAATATGGTGACCTCTTAATAGTGTGGGACCACCAGGTTGCCTAAGGAGGGATGGACCAGCTCAGGTTGGACATGGAGCAGGTCAAAACTCCCATGCTGATCAGTAGTGGGAAAATGCTAACTTGTATCTGAAATCCATCTCAGTTGCCCCTTGCCTTGTCAGCAATGATCAATGCATTTTAAGCCACCATGGACCACCTGGACAACCATGTGCTCTGCCATAGCCCTTCCCTCGAGGTTTCTTTGCTCTGTCACCCAGGCTGGAGTGCAATGGTGCCATCTTGGCTCACTGCAACCTTCATCTCCCAAGTTCAAGTGATGCTCCTGCTTCAACCTCCCTAGTAGCTGGGATTACAGGTGCCTACCACCTTCCCTGGCTAATTTTTGTATTTTTAGTAGACACAGGGGTTTCACTATGTTTATTAGGCTGGTCTTGAACTCCTGACCTCATGTGATCCATCAGCCTCAGCCTTTCAAAGTACTGGGATTACAGGCATGAGCCACTGTCCTGGCCTGCCCTGGAGGCTTTTATTATAAAATACCTTCCCTCCGGAGGCTGATGATCTCCCCTGTATTGCTTCACCAGACAGAGACTTTGCCCTTATTTCCATAGTACTAAATAGAACTGGGCTGTGGTGTTTCATGGAGATTCTTTAGAAGCTGCTAGTTAACAAGGGAATTGTAACACAGGCCTAGAAACTTCACAGGTCTAGGACGTCGTCCCACAGTGGAACGCAGCTTTGCTTAAACCTGAGCCTTCAGTCATGTACTAAGGCCACTGAACTTCACTCTTCCCTGACCTCATGGTGAGTCTTTGGGTATGTCTTTTCTTCTAAGTGTCCAGCCCCAAGTAGAGGAAGGATCTGCCCACTCATGCCAGTATAAGGCCTCCTTCCAACAGCCTCATTTTGCATTTCAGGACCTACCTTATCCCAGAATGACTAATGGCAGAAATGAGCCATCACTGACAGCAAGGCCATCCTTGCTCCAGCTGGATGGACAGTTTCTTGAGAGATCCAGGTAACTCACTATTTTATAGGATCATAGTCTAGTACTGAGTTAGACATGGAAAACTCAATCCAGATTATTTTTCAGAATCTTTTTAAATTGAAAATAAATAGACTCTCCAGCTATTTTCAGGGTCTTGTTTCTTGATCTCTTGTAAGTAACTGTTTGCACAGTAATATGTGTGTACAATTTTTCCAAAAATAAGAATAATATATTTATTTCCTTAGACCATGCATATCAAACCCTTTCACTCTAGAAGGTGTGGTAACCAGTCTCTGAAGATAGCCCAAAATGAACCACATCTCCTGGTATTAAATCTTCCTGTGGTCTTCTCACATAGAATCTGGGCTAACCTCATGTTTCACTCATCCAACAGAACATGGCAGACATGACATTATACTAATTCTAGGCATAAACCTAAAGAAAGCATCTGTCTTTGTACTTTTTTTGTGTGAGTTGAGTCTCACTCTGTCACCAGACTGGAGTGCAGTGGCATGATCTCGGCTCACTGCAACTTCCACCTCCCAGGTTCAACTGATTCTCCTGCCTCAGTCTTCCCAGTAGCTGGGATTACACGTGTGCACCACCATGCCCAGTAAGTTTTGTATTTTTAGTAGACATGGAGTTTCACCATGTTAGCCAGGATGTTCTCAATCTCTTGACTTAGTGATCTGCCCGCCTTGGCCTCCCAAAGTGGGATTACAAACATGAGCCCCGTGGGCAGCCCCTGTCTTTGTACTTATAAAAACCCTGAAGCAGCTTATACTTGTAATCCCAGCACTTTGGGAGGCTGAGGTGTGTGGATCATCTTAGGTTAGGAGTTCAAGACAAGCCTGGCCAACATGGTGGGACCCTGTCTCTACTGAAAATACAAAAATTAGCCAGGTGTGGTGGCAGGTCCCTATAATCCCAGCTACTCAGTAGGCTGAGGCAGGAGAATCACTTGAACCTGAAAGGTGGAGGTTGCAGTGAGCTGAGATCATGCCAGTGCACTCCAGCCTGGGTGACAGAGTGAGACCCTGTCTCAAGAAACAAACAAACAAAAAAACAGAAACAGCATGGAAGAAATCAGGCTACCCTACCAAAGAGACCACATAGAGAGGTTAGTCACATGAAGAGAGGTCCCAGCTCTCAGTCATTCCTGCCAAGGCTGCAGACATATGAATGATGCCATCTGGAAGGTCCCAGCCATCACCATCTGACTGCCTTATTCAGCCACTATGTTTCAAGTGTCTTATTAGGTGACTATTGATAATTGAAATAGAGCATGTTGTCCTACATGAAATTCACAGAGGAAAAGGATAGGCTACCCCAAAGATGAGCTTCTTACCTCTCATCTCTTATCTACTTAAAGCTGTGTATTAGTCCATTCTCCCACTGCCATGAAGGAATAACTGAGACTGGGTAATTTATAAAGGAAAGAGACTTAATTGACTCACAGTTCCACATTGTGGGGAGGTCTCAGGAAACTTACAATCATGGCAGAAGACAAAGGAGAAGCAGATACCTTCTTCACTGCAGGGTGGAGTGAGTGCAAGCAAGGCAAATTCCAGACAATTACAAAACCATCAGATCTCATGAGACTCATTCACTATCATGAGAGAAGCATGGGGAAACAGCCCTCATGATATAATTACCTCCACTGGTTCTGTCCTTGACATGTGAGGATTATGGAGATTATGAAGATTACAAGATGAAGTTTCGGGTGGGGACACAGTCAAGCCATGTAAACTTGTAAAAAAATTTTCCCTTTTGGTACTTATGTGTTATAACTCATTTATAACTAATGCTCAAGTCCAAGTATCATCACTTTCTAATCCCCTTGTCAGTCTTAGTGTAGCTCAAAGCCTTCACAGGAGAGTTTAGCCCTGAAGTTAAGGCCATGGGAGACCTCATTCTTCCTTCCATTTATAACTCCAAGGATCACGGCATTTCTCTATTAAAGGAAGCAAATGGTCACAGTTATGATTCCTCTAAGGGTGAAATGACACAAGCTGACAAAGTCAAAGTAAACAAATGTAGTTAGGAAAGAGCATGCATTACATTAAATGTTTTGCAAGTATAAAATAGGTAGGAAAACAAAATACATACACAGAGACAAGAGATTTGATAATATTTCACATGGGTTTGGAATAAAATGTAAACATAGAAAAATGCAATATATTGTGCACCTAAATTTAAATTACATGGCAGTTGGTATAAGAGAGTCCATCTTGACCACCAACTAAGGGTAATAGTCACTGGGGCAATGGTTATGTCATATGGCTGTCTTACCTAAAATATGTTCTTACAACATAGAGCAACAGGATATTACTTCATCTCCACTTGTCCAAATAAATTCATGTATAGGCAATTCCTAATTACCCAATTGCAGTAGCAAAGGTATAGCATACGTTGCTGTCAAATTGTCTTCTGCCAATTAGTTTCTTCTCATTATCACTAGATGCCTCATCTTGGTCTTCATAATGGCCTTCTACTTCTAGCTCACAACTCACAAAGTCTACAAAAAGAAGCTGGGCACCATGGCTCATACCTGTAATCCCAGTACTTTGGGAGGCTTAGGCAGGTGGATCACTTGAGGTCAGGGGTGTCAGACCAGCTTGGATGACACAATGAAACCCTGTCTCTTCTGCAAATGCAAACATTAGCTGTGCATGGATGTACCTGTAGTCCCAGCTGCTTAGGAGGCTGAGGTGGGAAGATTTCTTAAACCTGGGAGGTGGCGGTTGCAGTGAGCTGAGATTGCACCATTGTACTTCACCCTGAGCAACAGAGTAAGACTCCACCTCAAAGAAACAAAACAAAACACAAAAAAATTAGCTGGGCATGGTGGCATGCATCTGTAGTCCCAGCAACTTGGGAGACTAAGGTAGGAGAGTCACTTGAACCCAGGAGGTGGAGGTTGCAGTGAGCCAAGATCATGGCACTGCACTTCAGCCTAGACAACAGGGTCTCAAAAAAAGACAACTGTGTCTCAGAAAAAAGTCTATAGAAAGAAAATGTATATCATTCATTTATTCAATCATCCATTTATTCAACAAATAGTCAATGAGTACCAATTATAGACAGACACTGTTCAAAACATTCAGAACTCAATTCTAGGCATCCTGTCACTGCTGCAGCAATTATAGAGTACTTTTTTAGTTTACAAAGCTGATGTATTAAATTGGTCACCAAAACCTTAAAATTTCCAAAAGAAGATAAGGCTACTTTCCACCATCCATAAAGGTGGGTAAGATTTGTTTCCATAACTTCAGCACCATGTAATGATGGTTATTGTGGCCCTGAATTATTTCAAATGTAAAGAATGATAGTGACATCTCTGTAAAGAGAGAGGCCTGATAGAAGTTTCTCATCAATAAGTGATCATAAATGTAGGTGATGATGCTATTCCAAAAACACCACTTATGGATAATATAATGCACTTGAAATCTAAGTACGCCTCTCAATAACAGAAGTGACACAAGCTGACATAAATAAATAAGTGACCAGTGTGTTATGATGATAAGTGTTTTATAAATACCTAATTATATCATATTAAACAAGGGTGGAAAATGGTGGTGGGGCAGCTACACTCACATGTGTCCCTTTCTAGTTCCTGAGAGCTTCTCAAAAATTTTTACAAGGTGGTCAGTTTCATGCTCCAATGTGGAAATTTCCTTAGGTGGACCTGCTAAATTCTTAAATAGACCCAGGCAACAAATGATATACTAAATATTTAATTAGTACCAAGAAAAGCATTTGAACACACTGCAATCCTTTTTTGAGATGGAGTCTTGCTCTGTCTCCCAGCCTGGAGTGCAGTGATGTGATCTCAGCTCACTGCAACCTCCACCTCCTGGGTTCAAGCAATTCTCTGTCTCAGCCTCCTGAGTAGCTGGGATTACAGGCACCCACCACCATGCCCAGTTAATTTTTTTTGTATTTCTAGTAGAGACAGGGTTTCACCATCTTGGATAGGCTGGTCTTGAATTCTGACCTTGTGATTCACCTGCCCTGGCCTCCCAAAATACTGGGATTACAGGCGTGAGTCAATATTTCACAAAAATAGATAAATTCTAGAAGTTGCAGGGCTAAAAAACAAAAGGATAGTGTGAATTTCTTACATATAAAATGTAGACATTAACATTGTATTATATATGAAAAATAACGTGAATGCATTTGATATGAGAAGGTGCATGATATTAGTCGTTTGAAATGTGTCCCTCAGAGGCTATATCTAGGAGTTAAGAAACTTAAGATCTATTTTTGTTTTTCAGTCCAGAGCGAAGTTAGCAAGCATTGAAAGCTGTTTATTTCAGAGATGATGAAAAAATGAGAATGCCCTGTGTTCCTGTGACTTCAAAGAATCCTGTAGACATAACTTTATTCATCTCAGAGAATACTTCTGCTAATTATGTTATACATATTATATATAATAAACTACTTACTTGCTTGTTTTATAGAAAGAGAGTTCAGGCCTTGGGAAAACACTTGTGCAAAGTGGAAAAACCAAAAAGAAACTCTTAGGTCTTCTAACTCTTTGGCTTAGATTATTCTTTCTCTGTAACTGGAGACACATTTTCTTCCTGCTCTAACTGGTTCCATGGATTGAGTTACTAGACAGTAGGAATGTTTTTCTCTCCTAGTTTCCACTACTCACTGTTGATTCTCTTCCCATCTCTCAGTTTACTTTCCAATCTTTTTCCAGTGTCTCTTCTATTAGATACTTCTCAAGTCTTGCAGTTATTGGTCTCTCCTCAGCCCACTCACTTTCTTTTATTAAATTGAGACTGAGTCTCACTATGTTGCCTAGCGTGGTCTCTAACCCCCAGGCTCAAGCAATCCTCCTGCCTCAGTCTCTCCAGTAGCTAGAATTACAGACACACACTGCCACACCCAGCTACTTTTTTTTTGAGACAGAGTCTCACCCTGTCTCCCAGGCTAGAGTGCAATGGCACAACCTCAGCTCACTGGAACCTCTGCCTGCTGAGTTCAAGCGATTGTTATGGCTCAGCCTCCCGAGTATCTGGGATTACAGGTGTGTGCCACCATGCCTGGCCAATTTTTGTGTTTTCAGTTGAGATGCAGTTTCACCATTTTGGCCAGGCTGGTCTCAAACTCCTGACCAAGTGATCCACCCACCTTGGCCTCCCAAAGTACTGGGATTACAGGAGTGAGCCACATGCCTGGCCTAAATTTTAGCTCATGGAGGTGTTAGTCCATCTCAGTGAGACTATCTGACACTTTCTGCTGCCCCTCTTCACTACTTCTAACTGAGCAGTAGTGATGATGTTCTGTGTTCACTGCCCTTAGCATAGAATTGGTAGAGGAATAAATGCAGACAAGAAAGGATAGTTTTCTTAGTTTTTCCATTTAAAAGTAGACTGTGAGGCTGGTCATGATCACTCATGCCTGTAATCCCAGCACTTTGGGAGGCTGAGGCAGGTGGATCACCTGAGGTCAGGAGTTCAAGACCCACCTGGCCAACATGGCAAAACCCCGTCTCTACTAAAAATACAAAAATTAGCTGGGTGTGGTGGTAGGTACCTGTAATTCCAGCTACTCAGGAGGCTGAGGCAAGAAAATCACTTAAACCTGGGAGGTGGAGGCTACAGTAAGCTGAGTGCCATTGCACTCCAGCCTGGGTGACAAGAGCAAAACTCCATCTCAAAGATAAATAAATAAATAAACTATGAAGCCCATTCCAGAAACAGTAACCTGAAGGAAAATATATTTAGTCTAAAAATCCTTTCTTTCGAGCATCAGAATCTGGCTTTTGAATATCAGAAGCTAAAATCCCACAGAATTTAGAGCAGTAAAGTATTTCTATCATCAATAAGTTTGGACAAAGACATGCATATATAAGAGCTTGCCCCACTCAAGGCAGGACGTGGTGGTTCATGCCTGTAATCCCACCACTTTGGGAGGCTGAGATGGGTGGATCACTTGAGGTCAGGAGTTCAAGACCAGCCTGGCCAACATGGTGAAACCTTGTCTCTACTAAAAATACAAAAATTAGTCAGGTGTGGTTTTGAGTGCCTGTAATTCCAGCTACTCAGGAGGCTGAGTCAGGAGAATCACTTGAACCTGAAAGGAAGAGGTTGCAGTTAGCCGAGATCATGCACTCCAGCCTGGACAACAGAGCAAGATTCTGTCTCAAAAAAAAGTTTACCCCACTCTAGAGGATATAAGATCCCCTGAAAAGGTGGAGGAACAGAAACAATTCTGATGAGCATCCTTTCTTGCACCATTCCAAGCCTGAAGAGAAGCAAGGGAAAATAAAAGAAACTCCAGATTGGCTGGGGTCTCAGAAGTGGAGGGAATCTGGTGTTAAACATCAGTCTCCACCTGGCACAGGGCTCATACCTGCAATCCCAGTACTTTGGGAGGCCAAGGTGGGAGGATTGCTTGGAGCTAGGAGTTTGAGACCAGCCTGGGCAACACAATGGCATCCCACCTCTACAAAAAACAAAACAGTTAGCCAGGCCTGGTGGCATGTGCCTGTAGTCTCAGCTAATCTGAGAGGCTGAGAAAGCAGGATCTCCATGGCTTGAGCCCAGGAGATCAAAGCCGCAGTAAGACATAATGTACCACTGCACTCCTGCCTGAGCAATAAGAGCAAGACTCTGTCTCAAAAAAATAAAACAAAACAAAAGTCAGTCTCATATAGGCTTCTTGCATCCTGCATGGACTGGGTATAGGTCATAAATGTTGAAGCCAAGAGTACATGAAACCACCCCACTACCCTACCTATAGCCTTCTAGGCAGGTAACAAGCAGCCAAATATTTTCCATTCCCTGGGAGAGATGTGAAGACAACAGAGAGAGATGATTTAGGATTAGGAAGAAGGAAATGGTAGCAGAGAATCCCTTGAACATTCTGACCAGAGATCTGATAAGAAAATAAACATCTCAAGAGATTTCAGTGAGAAAGATGAAGAACAACCAAAGGCCAGATAAAATGTGGCCATTGAGGCCAGGCATGGTGGCTCAGGCCTGTAATCCCAGCATTTTGGGAGGCTGAAGCAGGAGGATCACTTGAGTGCAGGAGTTCAAGGCAGCCTGGACAATGTAGGAAGACCCTTGTCTCTAATTTTAAAATTAACATTTATTAAAAGCCCTAGACACTACCTAGTCTCTCCCTGACCTCACCAGAATGCACCAACATAGCACTCAGAATTGAGATGCAATCCTGTGGTGAGAAGGAGAGAGGCAAGAGTTTGATCAGCTGAGAAAGCCCTGTTGGCTAAAAATTACATTTCAGCCACTAGGCAGAATGGGGACTCAAGTTAAAAATCAAGTTTTTTGAGCTGGGCACATTGGTGCGCACCTACTACTTGGGGAGGCTGAGGTGGGAGGATTGCTGAAGCCCAAGAGTTAGACACCAGGCTGAGTAACATAGTGAGATCCCATCTCAAAAAATAATAGTAATAATAATCAAGTTATATAGAACAAAAATTAGAAAAGCTTTGTTTCCTGCATACCCAAGTATGAGTACTGAAATTTGTTCAAGCTACACTAGTTTTTATCTGTTCACATGATTGTCTAACCACTGGGCTAAAAACTCATCAACAGTAGGGACTGAGACTTTTCATCTGACTCCCTATCACATAACATAAAGACTGAAATGGAGACTGAATATGTGGTCAGTGGATTCAGCCATTTGATGCCCATCCAAGCATCAAATATCCAATGTTGCCAAACACCCTGGTGGGGGTAAGATAATCCAAGAGTGCAAGCTATTTAGCCAGGGATTCATATGCGCTTGGGACAGTGAAGAAGACATAGTAGGGGCAGTGGGGAGGCAGCCTGTGGGAAATCCCAAGAGGTGCCTTTGTGTAATCATCACAAGAGATTATAAGTTTTATTAAACCACGGGAATTTTTTTCAAGGCTGGAGGAATCTCTGTAGGATCTAACCCAAAACAAAGTCAGGCATTTTTGCTTCAAAGCCTGTAGACAGGGCTTATTTTAGAGTAGGTGGATTCTATCTTTGCCTCCACGTGTGATTTTAGAGACCCAAGCAGCTCCCTGCAAATCTTCCCCATCTGCTATTGCTGGGGAATTGTATTTCACTGTCAATTCTCCCTCCATTTAAAATCTTATTCCTTGATAAAATGGAGACAGATTTGAGAAAAAGAAATATTTTGAGTTACTACCAGCCTTTTATCCTTTGAGCTGACCAAAAGAGTGAATAAATTTTTTAATTTTTATTTTTAGTAGAGAGGGGGGTTTCACCGTGTTAGCCAAGATGGTCTCTATCTCCTGACCTCATGATTCTCCTGCCTTGGCCTCCCAAAGTGCTGGGATTACAGACATGAGCCACCACACCCAGGCTTCTCATTTTTAAAACAAGAGATAGGTTGGATGGAGAGGTAGAAAGTAGCAGGTACAGGGAAGTTGGGAAGGAGGCTGCCTGAGTGGCAAAAAGACAGAATAGAGAAGCCCAGCTAACAAAGAATGGCAGTTCTGCATAGGGCCTTTTATACTTAGGCAAGAACAGGCTATGGATCTGGATCTGGGAGAATTAGAGAAAGAAAATAGAGGAGCTCTCCATCCCCCATTGCCTCATGCTAGTCATTGGTGCCGTCCTGGCCTGCTTAGCAGCAGTTTTCTGTCTTGGATAAATTGATGCTTTTCTAAGAATTAAGAGAGGCATGATGGACAGCAGCAGAAGTAAACCCTGGGGCATGCACCAACTCACCGTGTTGATTCCTGAGCTTGTGATATAGAGAACTATGTAATTACAAGACTATAATTCTTGTCAATTGGCTTGAGGAAATTAGACACACAAACCAAATTGCCAGGAGCAATGAGGTAAGATAGATTTTTTTGGAGCCAAATGTATTTTATGGATGTAAGCGTCTTTGAGGCTTGGTTTTCCTGATGAGAAGACATTGCTGAGTGAAATCTAATGACTGCAGGAAGTAGCTCTCACTTGCCAAAGCAAAGAAACAGTGATAGTACTGGCAAAGATATAACAGGCACAGTCTGAAGGTCTGAGAATGTTCTGGAAAGATTGACGGTCAAGTAGCCCATTCTTCTCCCCATTTAACTGGGTCTTCTCAAGCAGGATGAATCATCTCTGCTGTGCTTCTGTTCAAGTGACTGAGTCATGGACACACTGGCATGGCTTAGAAACAAATACCTAGCCATTGTCTTAGTCCATTGAAGCTACTGCAACAAAATCCCATAAATTGAGTAGTTTATAAACAACAGAAGTTTATTTCTCACAGCTCTGGATACTGGCAAGTCCAAGATTAAGATGCCAGCAGGTTCGATGTGTGATGAAGGCCTGTCCTCTAGTTCATAGCCAGTGGTAGCGGACTATCTTCTTACTGTATCCTCACATGGTGGAAGGGGCTAGCTAGCTCTCTGCAATCTCATTTGTGAGGGCTGTGTCCTCTTCTTCTAATCACCTCCCAAAGGCCCCACCTCCTACTATCATCACCTTGGGGGTTAGAATTTCAACATACAAATTTTGGAAGGACACAAACATTCAGACCCTAGCAATCATTGATTGTACCTTACGTGTCTTTGGAAACTTAGCACTTCCAAATGGAATGTAGACTTAAGTGTTGTAACTTTTTTTTGAGACAGAGTCTTGCTGTGTCACCCATGCAACAGAGTACAGTGGCCCAATCTCAGCTCACTGCAACCTCCACCTCCCAGCTTCAAGTGATTCTGGTACCTCAGTCACCTGAGTAGCTGGGATTATGGGTGTGCCCCACCATGGCTGGACAATTTTTTTATATTTAGTAGAGATGGGGTCTCACCATGTTGCCTAGGCTGCTGTTAATGTCCTGACTTCAGGTGATCTACCCATCTTGGCCTCCCAAAAGTGCTGGGATTACAGAAGTGAGCTACCACACTCAGCCAAGTGATGCAACTTTTACTTCTGCTTTTCTCTTTGATCTTTACCCTCCCTGCCAACTGCTCAGCCTCTCGGTTGGCAAGGTGAAGTTAGCACTGTGCTGAGAGCCACGGATGTGCTTGTTGATTCTACATCGGGGAAAAGAATCACCAGCACATCTCAATCTAGGTCAGCAAGACTTTAGTAACATGTCCCCAGGGTTTCTCTTACAGTTTTCACAGAGGATGAAACTGGACTGCAATGAAATATCCCTTCACTACACTCAAGAGGCAACTGCAGGTACAAGAATAAATAAGAGTGCAAGAGTAAATCCCCACTGATGTCTAGACCAGAAAAACACTGAAAGCGCTGGGCGTGGTGGTGCGTGTCTGTAGTCTCAGCTACTCAGGAGGCTGAGGTGGGAGTATCGCTTGAGCCCAGGAGTTCTGGACTGTAATGCGCTATGCCTATCGGGTGTCCGCACTAAGTTCGGCATCAATATGGTGACCTCCTGGGAGCGGGAAACCATCAGGTTGCCTAAGGAGGAGTGAACCGGCCCAGGTCAGAAACGGAGCAGGTCAAAACTCGCGTGTTGATCAGTAGTGGGATCGCGCCTGTGATTAGCCACTGCAGTTCAGCCTGGGCAACACCCCGTCTTTTTTTTTTTTTAAAAAAAGAAAAACACTGAAAGCAAATTAAGCCATTTGCAATGCTGGGATTGGTGCCTTAGAATAAAGATAACTAAAAAAAAAAAAATCGGCAATCCAGCTGGGTACAGTGGCTCACACCTGTAATCCCGGCACTTTGGGAGGTTGAGGTGGGCAGATCACTTGAGGTAGGGAGTTTGAGACCAGCCAGGCAAACATGGAAAAACCCCGTCTCCACTAAAAATACAAAATTGGGTGGGTGTGATGAAACATGCCGGAAATCCCAGCTACTCTGGAGGCTGAGGGAGGAAAATCGCTTGAACCTGGGAGGCGGAGGTTGTGGTGAACCGAGATAGCACCATTGCACTCCAGACTGGGCAATAAGAGCAAAAGTCCATCTCAAAAAAAAATTGGCAATTAACCTAGGATTACAATCTTTAAATGTGTCATATCAATATTTATGCATATGTACATGTTTAACAAGTGAGGATTTTTCTTTTTTGTTGTTGTTGTTTAGTGCCTTGAAATGTGTGTAGCTGTTTCCTACTTTTCTTGAATTTAAGTGGTGACTTTTACAAGGTAGTTACCACAATTGTCCTTATTACCTTTACATTTGTATTTAATTTATAAACATTTTTCATTTGACCTACATGCTGGGGATATGCTTCAAGTGAAACAAGGCAAATTGCCCTTGTAAGGAAGGTAAAAGGAAAGAAAATGGGAGAAGTAAGCCCACGTCCCCCACTCTCACTTGTAGTTCATGTTGTCAAGTTGTTCATCTCACGTCTGCCACTTCTCTGCTCCTCTCTTCTAAAACAATCCCAAGATCATCTGGTCAAGTTTTCTCCAGGGTGAAAGCACATCTGTGGTGAAGGAACATTCCTGGTGGTCACTCCTGATGATTTCTGTTCCTGAGGCAGTGGATGCAGATCCGATGAAGCAAACTGGCCTCTTTTCTCCTGACTCACTGTTTCCTTGCCTCTGCTCTTCCATGCAGGAAATGTCCGACAGTCCCTTCCTCATTCCTACAGGTGACAGAGACAGCTAGATGTCTACCCACTGCCATTTCCCTGCTACAGACTAAATGCTTGTCTTCCCAAAATTCATATATTGAAATCCTAACCCTCAATGTAATGGCATTTGAGGATGGGGCTTTTTGGGGGTGATGAGCATTATTTGAGATCATGACAGTGAGCCCTTATGATGGAATCAATGCCCTTATAAAAAGAGGAGGAGGCACCTGGTGTGATTCGGTCCTGCACGGCTATTCTCTTAAGCAGTGGTTGTTTATCTCTGTCCACCTTCTCTCACACCTAAGTGCATGCTGTCACCCAATGGAAGATTGAATGGGCATGGACATGAGCCCCCTGAGGTCCCAGAACTATCTTTTTGGTTGTGAACTAAAGGCCAACAAAGATGATCACTTAAGGTGGATAATGATGAAATGAGCACCAGTTATCTTTAAGAATGGTCAGTTTAGGAGATTGTTAAAGCAGAGTCAATGAATTATGAAGGCAGTCCCATTAAAGTAACACTGGCAACTTAAAAAATGTCTGTACAGCCAACAGTTTCCCTTGGGGGCATTGAAATAACACCACCAGTGGTCTTACAGTTGAAGTGTGGTTCAAGGCCAGCGCATATTAGTGGACAGCACTTAGTAGCTGTGGAGGAAGATACAGTGTCAGAAGATGAATAGGAGGAGGATTCAAAACTCTGAAGTATATCTGGAAAGTGGTCTGCCCCTGGAGGTGGTAGCCAGCTTCCACAGAAAAAACTAAAACTTACTGCTGATGAAGATGATGTCGATGAAGATTATGATGATGATGATTTTGATGATGAGGAAACTCATCATCAAAAAGCACCAGTGAAAAAATACATGAGATACTTCAGCCAAAAATGCACGAAAGTCAAATCAGAATGGAAAAGGCTCAAAACCATCATCAACACCAAAATCAAAAGAAAAAACTCCTAAAACACCAAAAGGACCTAGTTCTGTAGAAGACATTCAAGTAAAAATGCAAACAAGTATAGAAAAAATCACACTGAACAATCCTGGGCACTACCAGTAAATTAAGCCCAAAGATGGAGAGAAAGAAAAAAGAGAGACAAATGTAGTCCATAATGAGTGTTATCAGCAATCCAGACTGAAGTCTATTTTAATCTCAATCCCCTTTTCTGATTTGCCACCCATGCCTCTTCAGGAAACAATCTCACTCTTGGTTCCCTAAAGCACTTTCTTCTCATTGCTGTGATTCAGTGAACCTTGCCCTTTGCTTTCTATTACTTGTGCATTTGCCTCACCTCTGACCATGTTTTAAATCACCTTTCTATCTGTTTAGCTGCTCAATAAATATTTGAATGAATAAAAAAAGAGGCTGGGAATGGTGGTTCACCCCTGTAATCCCAGCACTTTTGGGGGCCAAGGTGGGCAGATCAGTTCAAGAACAGCCTGGTCAACATGGTAAAATTCCATCTCTACTAAAATACAAAAATTAGGTGGGTGTGGTGGCACGTGCCTGTAGTCCCAGCTACTCAGGGGGCTGAGGCAGGAGAATCACTTGGACCCAGGAGGCAGATGTTGCAGTGAGCCGAGATAGCACCCCTGCACCCCAGCCTGGTTGACAGAGTGAGACTCTCTCAAAAAAGGAGAGAAAAAAAGAGGAGACACAGGATCTTCCTCTCTGCTCACCAGCAATTGAGGATAGAAGACAGTCATCTACAAACCAAGAAGTGGCCCCTCACCAGACCTGGATCTGCCAGCACCTTATCTGAGACTTCCTAGCTTCCAGAGCTGTGAGATGTAAACTTTTATTGTTTAAACCATTCAGTCTATTTTATTCTATTATACCATGTAGTCTATGATATTCTATCAGTATTATTATTTTTGCTTGGGTAATCCCTTTTAATGGTGAACTTCAGGACAAACTACATCAAGGTTTCTGAAGACAATGGCTTCTCCACCCAAGCAGGTTGTATATAAATTCCAAATAGAACCTGGCACCACCCTGCAGGAATTCTAACTTCACACTTTTGGGAAAATTTACCAATATGGCTTCAGAATAAACTAACTTTATACAGCACATTAAAAAAAAAGACTTTTATTCAGCATCACAATCAGACTAAGTGCAGACTAAAGCTTCTTTTTTTTTTCCTTGCCAATGAAACCTTTACTTTATTGCAAATGTCAATATGACCAGCTTAAGAAAACTACTTTTTCTAGTCTCCCAGGTGAATAGGCATGAGCAAGTGGTAAAATTTTGGCTGGCAAGATGGGAATAGAAATTGTTGAGTAGGACATCTGTAAAGCTTCTTAAAAGGGGAAAATGGCTCATCTGTGTGCCCCTTAATATTTTCCCTTCCCCTTTCTTACTTATCTATACTAAGCACAAACACAGCACCACTATGTGTATTCAAGAGCACATCTCAATCATGCCAGAATAGGATGCCTGCAGGAGAGAAGCAATGGGAGTAAGTGGCTGGTACAAATGGGAAAAGCAACTTTTTGGAGGGGTGGGGGGGATTTCATGACCTCATCTTTAAAAACACACAGATACACACACACACACCCCTTTTACTTCAGTTTTGGGGGTACATGTGAACGTTTGTTACATACATAAATTCATGTCATGGGGGTTTGTTGTACCGATTATTTTATCACCCAGGTATTAAGCCCAGTACCCAATAGTTATATCATTGTGGTTTTGATTTGCATTTCTCTAATGATCAGTGATATTAAGCTTTATTTCATATGCTTGCTGGATGCATATATGTCTTCTTTTGAAAACTGTTTGTACATTTCCTTGGCCCACTTTTTAATGGAGGTGTTTTCTCTTGTAAATCTGTTTAAGTTTCTTATAAATGCTGGATATTAGACTTCTGTCAGTGCTTGCAAGTATTTTCTCTGATTCTGTAGATTTTCTGATTACTCTGTTGATAGCTTATTTTGCTGCTCAGAAGCTCTCAAGTTCAATCAGATTCCACTTGTCAAATTTTGCTTCTGTTGTGATTGCTTTTGGTGTTTTTATCATGAAATCTTTGCCCATTTCTATGTCCAGGATGATATGGCCTAGGCTATCTTCCAGGATTTTTATAGTTTTGAGTTTTACATTTAAGTCTTTAATTCATCTTGAGTTGATTTTTGTATATGGTATAAGGAAGAGGTCCAGCTTCAATCTTCTGCATATAGCTAGCCAGTTATCCCAGCACCATTTATTGAATAGGGAGTCTTTTTTTTATTGGAAAAGTAAATTTTTTAAAAAGAAGGGAGGTCAAGAAGGCAGATCAGACCGGGTATGGTGGCTCACATGTGTAATCCCACCCAGGCTGAGGTGGCTGGATCACCTGAGGTCAGGAGCTTGAGACCAGCCTGGCCAACATGATGAAACCCCGTCTCTATCACAAATACAAAAATGGAGGCTCCTCCCTCCCCAAGATGGCTGCTGAAGGTGATTTATTGCTGCTGCAGCTCCCCAAGCTGCTTAAAACCAGCAAACAGCTTCTGGAAATAGAAGAAGTAGTGACTGAATCTGCCGGTTTCCGGATAGTCCAGGAGAAGATGTTCAAGGACCTGGACCTCCTTGAGAAGGCTGCCAAAATGTTGTCGCAGCTCGACTTATTCAGTCAAAATGAAGATTTGGAAGAGATTGCTTCCACTGACCTGAAGTACCTATTTGGTGCTAGCATTTCAAGGAGCCCTCACCATAAAATAAGTCAACCCCAGCAAATGTCTAGATCCTTTGCAGTGGGCTTGAGAACACTTTATAAACTACTTAACTAAGTGCCATTGCTATCATGTGGCAAAGTCTGAGCTGCCCAAAGCCAAGAACTCTGCTGAAAATCACACTGCTAATTCCTCTATGGCTTATCCTCGCCTCATTGCTATCAAAGACAGATTAAAATAGAGAGATACAAGCAGAAGAAGGATTTGGAGCATAGGTTGTCTGCAATGAAATCTGCTGTGGAAAGTGGTCAAGCAGATGACGAGCATGTTCATGAATCTTATCTTCACCTTCCGAGGTGGATAGATATCAGCTTAGAAGAGATTGAGAGCATTGACCAGGAAATAAAGTTTCCTGAGAGAAAGAAATGCTTCAAGAGAGGAATCAACTTCTAACTTATCTTGCAGGAGAGGCCTCCAGTGAAACCCTTCATTCTCACTTGGAACATGGCCCAAGTCTAATTATCTGGAGCTGGTTATTCAAACCTGGCAACTATGATGGTGAGTGACTGGTATGAGCAACGTTAGAAATATGGAGCATTCCCAGATCAGGGAGTGATCAAGGCAACACCAGAGGAATTAAGAAAAGCAGCTCAGCAACAGGAAGATTAAGAAGAAAAAGAGGAGGAGGATGAACAAATACTGTACGGAGCTCAGGGTGGGATGACTGGAAAAGCACCCATCTGAGGGGCTATGGTGACCGACACAACATGTGCTGATCTTCCCACAACACGGCAGGACTGCAGGGTGCACACCTCCCCCGCCAAGGAAAACCTTGCAGTCCTCCCTGCCCTGGGCTCCCTCTGCAGCTGTGTACAACAAAGGCAAAATGCTAAATCTTATTTTGCATTCAATAAAGTGTCAAGTGATTGTGTGTATTTGTACACCCCCCCCCACAAAATTATCCAGACATGGTGGTAGGCACCTGTAGTTTCAGCTATTCAAGAGGCTGAGGCAGGACATTTGCTTGAACCTGGGAGGCAGAGGCTGCAGTGAAATCACACCACTCTACTTCAGCCTGGGCAACAGAGCCAGAGCCCATCTCGAAAAAAAAAAGGAGAGATTGTTTACACCTGTAATCTAGTAATCCCAGCAAATTAAGAGGCCAATATAGAGGCTTGCTTGAGGCTAGAAGTTTGAGACCCCATCTGCACACACGGGTGTGGTGGTGTGTGCCTGCAGTCCTGGGTATGGTAATGTACTCCTATAGTCCCATCTTCTCAGGAGGCTGAGGAAGGAGGGCCGCTTTAGCTCAGGAGTTCTAAGCAGCAATGAGCCCTGGTAGTCCCACTGTACTACAGCCTAGGTGACAAAATGAGACCTTGTTTCAAAAAAAAAATTAAATAAAGGGCTCTGTACAGACTGTTGTTAAGAATGTTTTCTGAAATCGGTGTTATGGGTGTTTTATTTAACTCAACTCTCTTCTCTTTGTGTCCTGGAAGGGAGGGAGAACAGGGAGAGGAGAGACAAAGAATCACAGCCAAAAGCTGTGGTCAATAATTGTATAAAACCCTGCAGTGGTGCAGCAGCCTCTACTCTATGGGTAATTAAGAGGCAAACTCTCCACTTCCACTAGTATTCCTTGAAGATGTGAGCAACAGCTCTGGGCTGTCCTGTAGGAAAGACATGGGCTGCTGGCAGCCCTTGTATCTCAAATCCAAACATGCATTTCCTTTCCAGATCCTCTGTCCTAGGCGGTGGGGGTGCGCCCAGCTTCAGATCCTTGATTCATCTTATCTTTACACAGCTGTCAATTTTAGGACTCAATAGACTTAACTTCCTGTTTAGGTTCTCTTTTCCATCAGGAGAGACTGCTGGCTGCCTTCTTCCTCTAAGCAGAAGTGCATAAAATTAAATGTTACCTAAAGTCTCCGTGTTTTGGGAGAGGTTAAAGAAGGAGTGTGGTAGGCTGTCACATCAGTGAGCCCGGCTGAGCTATGCCTCCTTGTATACTCCACTGCCTTGGAATCTCAGTGTCCCTATGACCTGCTTTAATCAGTAGAAACAGGCAGAAGGGGTACTATTTGGAGCCAGAGACTTGAGGACTGGAAGCTTCTGTTTTGGCCCTCTGGGGGAAGCCAGCTCCCCTGTAGAAAGATGACTGCCCTAAGCCCAGTGTGCTGTGAAAAAGCTCACAATGGTTTGTTATTAATACTAGATAACCCAAACAAACAACCACCATACTGCATTATATTTAGGGCTTGTATTTCCAACTTAGGGGAACAACAGCTCAGGGGAGAAGGTAGCATTTCCTTTTTTTCTTTTTCTTTTTTTTTTTTTTGAGATGGAGTCTTACTCTGTAGCCCAGGCTGGAGTGCAGTGGTATGACTGGGTCCCAGTTACTGGGCCCCAGTTAAAGCAATTCTCCTGCCTCAGCCTCCCAGTAGCTGAGATTACAGGCACATGCCACCATGCCCAGCTAACTTGTAATTTTAGTAAAGATTGGGTTTCACCATGTTGCCCAGGCTGGTCTTGAACTCCTGACCTTGTGATTCACCTGCCTAGGCTTCCCAAAGTGATGGAATTACAGGTATGAGCCACCGCAGCTGGCAAGTAGTGTTTCTTCTCACAGGGAAAGAGTGGTTGTTAACGATGTCTCCCATGTGTAAAAGGATGCATGACACTGCATCAAATGCTGACTTCCTCTCACTGCATTTCTCTCCTCTGGCCCCTTTTCTCCCTTGACTCACCCACCACCCACCTTTTTTTTGAGACAAGTTCTCACTCTGGTTGCCCGGGCTGGAGTGCAATGGCATGATCTTGCCTCACTGCAGCTTCAACCTCCTGAGCTCAGGTGATTCTCCCAACTCAGTCTCCTGAGTAGCTGGGAATACAGGTGCACACTATCATGCCTGGCTAATTTTTTTGTAGTTTTAGTAAAGAAAGGATTTCATCTCATGTTGCTTAGGCTAGTCTCAAACTCCTGGACTCCAGCAATCTGTCCCCCTCAGCCTCCCAAAGTGCTGGGATTACAGGTGTGAGCCACTGCACCCAACCTTCTCTCCCTTTTAATGAACTAATACCCCTTGGCCCTGGAAGAAGCCTTCTGCTTCTTCTCACTCCTGTCGCTTTGCCTGTTCTGTGCCATCCACCTGCAACACTCTGCCTTCATTTCTGTGTATTATAACTTTTTTTTTTTAGATACAGGGTCTCACTGTGTTGCACAGGCTAGTCTTGAACTCCTGGGCTCAGGCAATCCTCCTGTCTGTGCCTCCCAAAGTGCTGGGGTTATAGATGTGAGCCACCACATCCAGCCTAAGTATAACCACTTTAATAGTTTTCCATGAATATCTCAACCCCAGTAAAAGCTGCTCCTTTCCTCTGAAATCCATTCCCAAAACAATGCTAAGTAGAAAATTGATTTGGCCATTACTCATTTTGTGACATAATTTCTCTTATTGTCTTGAATAATATGTAAATGTACCTTGATTTAACTTTACAGTGGTTTGTTTCTTGTTCCCTGAATCAGATCATAGCTCATTAAGAACAGGAATATTGGGCTGGGTGCAGTGGTTCATGCCTGTAATCCTGACAGTTTGGGAGGCCAAGGTGGGTGGATCATGAGGTCAAGAGATAGAGAGCATCCTGGCCCATCTTTATTAAAAATACAAAAATTAGCTGGGCATGGTGGCGCACACCTATAGTCCCAGCTACTCAGGAGGCTGAGGCAGGAAAATTGCTTAAACCCAGGAGGTTGAGGTTGCAGTGAGCCAAGATCACACCACTGCACTCCAGCCTGGTGACAGAGCAAGACTCCTCTCAGAAGAAAAAACAAACAAACAGAAATATTGGCTGGGCAAGGTGGCATAAGCCTGTAATCCTAGCATTTTAGAAGGCCAAGGTGGGCAGATTACTTGAGGTTGGGAGTTCCAGACCAGCCTGGCCAACATGGTGAAATCCTGTCTCTACTAAAAATACAAAAATTAGCGGGGCATGGTGGTACCTGCTTGTAGTCCAAGCTACTTGAAAGGCTGAGGCAGGAGAATTGCTTGAACCCAGGAGGTGGAGGCTGCGAGCAGCCAAGATCATGTTGTTTTACTCCAGCCTGGGGGACAACAGCAAAACTCCATCTAAAAAAGAACAGGAATATATGTTGTCATTCATTCATTCATTAGAAAGTCAGTAATATCTATTGATTTTAACTATACTTACCAGTTCCATCCAGACCAAGCAGCCTAATAGTTTTCTTTTTAAAGCTCTCACATCCTATCAGAATGATTGCAACAATTTTTAACTTTTGTCCAAGACAGAGGGGATTTCTGGGAATGAGAACCTTCAGTTTTAAAACTGAAAAATTAGCCAGGCATGGTGGTGTGCACCTGTAGTCCCAGCTGTTCCGCAGGCTGAGGCAGGATAATAACTTGAACCTGGGAGGCAGAAGTTGCGGTGAGCTGAGATTGTACCATTGCACTTCAGCCTAGGTGACAGAGCAAGACTGTCTCAAAAATAAATAAATTACATTAAATAAAACTGAGAATGTCCCATGCAAACCAGGACAAGTTGGCTATCCTACTTATAAGGTTATTTTCTCATCTAATTTATATGGTGCTCTGCCCACAGTTTCAAACAGCAGGCCTAAACCCTATTTTCACATAAATTACTCTTGTAAGTTCTATAAGTTCAAACAGGTGGTCTCCTAAACAAGTTTTACTTAAATTTGATAGGCTTTTGAAAATCATTTGTGATAATTATACCTTACCCGAATGGAGGTTGTTTTCATAGTAGAAGCTGTAAAAAGGAACACATGTCATTTGGCCCCAGACAGTCTTACTGTATTTCATCCTGCTGCAGAGAAAGTTCAGTGCTACAGTAAGATCTTAGTTAGTCCTTTTGCTACATTGTATTGAAACACTTACCGGTCACTCTTTACTTTCCAGTACTGTCAGTTTCCTTTTTTGAGATGGAGTCTCACTCTGTTGCCAGGCTGGAGTATAGTGGGACATCTCGGCTCACTGCAAGCTCCGCCTCTGGGGTTCAAGCGATCCCCCTGCCTCAGACTCCTGATTAGCTGGGACTACAGGTGTGCACCACCACACCCAGCTAATTTTTTTGTATTTTTAGAGATGGTTAGCCAGGATGATCTCAATCTCCCGACCTCATGATTCGCCTGCCTTGGCCTCCCAAAGTGCTGGTATTACAGGCATGAGCCACCACGCCCAGCCTAGTGTGAGCTTCTTAAAGC